CTTCTTCTTCTTCTTCTTCTTCTTCTTCTTCTTCTTCTTCTTCTTCTTCTTCTCTCTCTCTCTCTCTCACAAAAACACACACACGCATACAAACACACAAACACATTCTCTCCCCACTCTCTCTCTCTCTCTCTTTATCTCTCTCTCTCTCTCTCTCTCTCTCTCTCTCTTTCTCTTTCTTTATCTCTCTCTCTCTCTCTCTTTCTCTTTCTTTATCTCTCTCTCTCTCTCTCTCTCTTTTAAATTGCTTACTGGTTCACTCCCTTGCTCACTTGCCGCATAATCTGCTTTCTCTTTGTATTTCTTTTGTCGTTTTCGCATAGGCATCATTCATTATAAGAATGAATTATTAAGCATTATGGATTATCGCGGCTTTGTAAGAGACAATGTACATCTAAAACGTAATTGTTCACAAACACGCAGTCAGATACATAGCGAGCCGATTCTAAGTGAGCTTAAGTTTGATTGCTATTATTTCACAAAGGTACATCGTATTCCAAACCAAACAAGAGCAGTCCAAACTTTGGAATATTAAAATTGCAAGACACCCTTATTCAAAGGAATGGTGGATTAAATTTTGAAAGCACAACAGAGAAAAAGAGAGAAAGGGAGGTAGAGAGAGAGAAAGAGAGAAAGAGAGACGGAGAGAGAGAGAGAGAGAGAGAGAGAGAGAGAGAGAGAGAGAGAGAGAGAGAGAGAGAACAGGACATGCCCTTGGGAGAGTGAAAATCTAGCATAAAATTACCCACAACCCCTTAAAGTGGAATCCACTGGGAAAAAGAAAGAAAGTAAGCCCTAAAACTAAAATTCCTTAGGGGTAGGACTAAAATTCGGACCATGAGGTGATGAGATACAGCTGGACAGAGGTAAAGATTAATTTATAGCCCAGTACAGAAGAGCTCGACGATGGCCTATACTCGGGCACTGGGTAAGAATTGCTGATGACGATGATGGTGAACTATATAGAAGTGCTAACTAGCTTTAAAAAAAAATTTAAAAATTTAAAACCTCCCCTCCCCAACTTTTTGGACTACGTGGAAAGTTAAAACGCGCGCGCGCAGACTCAAATTATACGGATTATATCTCGTATAAAGATAATTTGTAGATCTACACACTATAGTTCCGTAAATTTGGATTTATAGAATTATCCGGACATTTGCACTGTGGTATAAAAAGTATCTTGATAGGGGGGATTACAGCTATCATTTCGGCACAATTCGACCGATTAGACTCGCGATCTTGAAAAACCAACATGTTTGATTTTAAAGGTCAAAGTCGCTTTTGTCACGTCCATGAAGGAAAATCGTGGCTGGCCTCGATTAACTCAAATGAATTAAAATTGACAAGACGGTATGAGTGTGCACTTGTGGGCTATCGTGACAACCAAGGACACACGTGGGGCTGTCTCAGTCTCAGGGCTAATTAGAAACCGCTACCATAGAGTCAACACACAGAGTCGGACTGTCGCGGGGAGCACGCATGGACAGTAGATAAAGCAGGGAAAGAGGGAGGGGGGGGGTTGGTTGGCACGAATGGACAGATAGATAGATAAAGTCAGGGAGGGAAAGGGGGGTGGGGTGGGTTGGCACGAATGGACAGATAGATAGATAAAGTCAGGGAGGGAAAGGGGGGTGGGGTGGGTTGGCACGAATGGACAGATAGATAGATAAAGTCAGGGAGGGAAAGGGGGTGGGGTGGGTTGGCACGAATGGACAGATAGATAGATAAAGTCAGGGAGGGAAAGGGGGGTGGGGTGGGTTGGCACGAATGGACAGATAGATAAGGCGGGGAGGTCACACAGCCATAGGTCATCGCAAACTTCCCTAGCCTGAGAAAAGTGAAAAGCAAACGTGTTGCTTACTTATTGAATTGACAGACACACGACCGAGACACTAGTCACGTGTGCGCTCGCTCACACACACACACACACAC